ACCAGCCAGTTAACTGTCCATCTTACTACCTCTTGTTTGCCCATAACTGTTTTTTGTATTATCAAAACTAAATAGATGAGTCCAATCCCTGTCCAATCCTCATAACATCAGGTTGTCCAAAGAATCATAAGCTTTCCTTGGTGTCTTGAGACATTCTGTGCAGAAGAGCTTCTGCTTCTGGAAAGGTAGCTTTTCTGAGCTGTTTCTGCAGAGTGGTTCCTTCATCATGCAAACCTTAGGAGATACAGTAACACTGAAAATCTACTTCTACTTAACAAAAGTTTTATAAAAAAAAATTGTTTTTTGACAACTTGTGGTCTAGCCTGAGTTCTCCCCTCTGGCCACCAAGATGTCTGTCAGCACTGTAAAGTGTTTTGGGAGTTGGGATTCCTTTTGGGAATTCTCTCTGAAGGTTTTCAACATATTCTTCTTAATTCCACTTAGCAGCTAATTTTTTGAATGATGCAACTCTGCTGTTGTAAACAAACAAGAAAGTAGAGAGAGGCAGTTATCTTGATTGGACCAATTTCATTCCTCCTGTAATACAGTTAATGTGATATGAGCATAAATGGGCAAGTTATTTTCCTCCTGAGTAGAATGAAAGTAAATTGAACTAAACCTGACCTTAATCGAAAGATGATGATATAATTACCTGCTGCTGCATATTTAAAGAAGAAGAGATGTCATCACTGACAGCAAATTTTACAGAAAAATTTTTTTCTCTGTAGATCACAGTGGAATCCTGACACTGCTTTGCATGAAGGACACGTTGTCTCAGCACAGGAGCTGACTGCACTCTTGCAACCTGTTTTTACCCAGAATTCCAGAAACCTTATCTTGTTTCTGCAAGATAAGGTATGTAACATTCATTCCTTTTCTCTCACCAATACCAAGTGCAAGTCTGTACCTAAATAAGATGCCATGGCTCCTTCTCACCAATCTACTTTCTTTGTTTTTCAGCTTAGCATAGATGATTTCACATACCTCAGTGCATCCTACGGTAACAAGAATCCATTTCAAAACGTTCAGGCAAGCATTTCTCTCTTTTATTTCTTTATATGCATATTTAAAATTAAAAAAGATATAAGAAAGATGCAAACAAACAATAATTGTGAAAATTAAACTGAATTGCAGCAGTTTTCTTTTTAAATTATTAATTGAGATTATTTCAGTTTAAGTAGATGGGTTAAAGAAAATCAACTGAGTTTGCTGGAGTGTTTTGTACCTATTTCATTTCTGAAGATCAAGTTTTCAGAATTCATTGTAACTGACAAAATTGTTCCTAAACATGCTGCAATTTTGTAATGTAAAAAAAAAATATAAGCTTCCAGACTGACACCCCAAAATTGTTTTGAAGCCATAGGAAGAAAAGAAGTTATAGGAATCAATTATTTATTCCTGATTTTCAGAATTGAACATCTATTTTATTTTCATAGAAATTGAAGCTCTCTTAACTCATGCAGTGGTTTAACTGTTTCAAATTTGAATGTAGTTAATATATGACTAGATACTGGATTCCTTTAATCTTCTTGAAAAAAAGACATGCTACTTGAGAAATTTGAAATCAACTCCAGACACAGAATCTAAGAGGGATTCCTCCTGAGCTGATCAGCAACTTTACCTTCTCATTCAGGAGTTTTACAGGTTTTATGCACGGCATCTCTGGTTATACTTACATGACAGTTTATTGAACTGTAGTTAGACAAAGGAAGTGTTGACATGTCATTCCTGTAGGCAGAGCAGGATGAACAGAGCTATTCATAATGTGACTGGTTTCAGGGCACATGAGGAAGTGTAAATTCCCAGGCACCACACAGCAAGCTGTATGTGTAATTAAATACACAAATATTCACATATTCCCTGTCTCTACATCTATACTAAGAACCTCACGTCCTCCTTGTGTCACTGATACTGGAGATCTTAATCTCTTTGCCATAAAACAGCATTTTAACACTGATGCTGGAACAAAAGCAACTATTCAGAGTATGTACATGGGTTTTCTGAGGAATGAATGGGAGTAATAATCATTTGTAGCATAAGGACCAGCGGGTTACACTCACAGGCCGATGGAGTGGTACTGCTCTAGTATGCCTTACCTTCTCTGGGTTTAAAATCTATGCAAGGCTGTTTCTGGAGCAAATTTTGTTACTGCTTGACTGCAAAGGTGGTTTGATTTTGGAAGCTGTGTGAAATGTAGACATGGCACTGCAAGCTCCTAATGATGTGGTGGTCTTACTTAAGTAGGCCCTAGGTGTTGAAGTGTAGGAATATTGAAGTATTTAAAACCTTCTTCTTTTGCCTTGTAATCAGGACTCCATCAGCACTGTAGATAGAATTTACAGCCAGGGGCTAGATTTAAGTCCAGAGACTGATGGGTTTAGAAATTGGGTGTATACTGAGTAGACTGGGGACTTACTAAGGTTAGTGAGGAGGTCCTCAGCTAAACAAAGAGTCATGATTAAGTAAATCTTTGGTCTGTATCTGGCAGAACAAAGATTTAAACCCAGGTTTTCAACAAGCTGAATAAATGTCAGTAACAGGTTGTTTGCTTTTTGACCTTGCCTCTGTTCCGTTTCTCTCTTGGAGCTGAGAAAGTTTTTCTCATTACAGTTTCTTTAAAACTGGAAAGTTTCTTTTGACAAATTGCTCACCTTAACTGCAGTACTTCCTAGGTTTGTTCTGTTGGAGTTGGCAATTTTAATACTTTTCTGGCATAGTTTTGTGGAGGTGAGGTGTTGCAATTTGAGTGAAGGAAAATGAGATGTATAAATTAAATATTACTTTTTCACTTAGGTGTTCATATGGAGATTTTTTTCAATATCTGTTGCATAGACTTGTAGTTTTTAGGGCCAGAAAGAATCTTTACAATCATTCAGTTCCATCTTGTATGCAACAGAGGCTACAAAAATTTCCTCAGTTGCTATTGCATCAGTTGCACTTCACTTGAGCTACTTTGGGAAATAAATCCATTCCTAATCATGCTATGAAAGACTATGTCATAATAGTCACAGAACACAGGACAAAGTGAAGGTCAGGTCTGAATGTTCTCACTGGGAAAATTAAAACCTTTGATGTTGCATAATAAAAAATGTTTATACCTTTGCACTCTATATTATACAAGTGATTCATTAAGCTATAATAGATGTTCCATGTCACACAAAATTATTTACAAACCTAAACTGGAGATCTCATTTAAAATGTATATGTGCACATAGCAGCATGTGTACTACAAGAAGGAAATGTTATTTGTAAAAGAGTTGTAGGCTTGTAAACCACAGAGACATTTGCAGATATTAGATTTGTTCAGCTACATTAGCAGCTGTTTTGAGCTTTTGGGATCAATACACTTGTATGCAATAAAAGAATTCTATTTCCAGTTAATACAAAGGGAATCTTATAGGTAGATAATTTATCTTAAACATTCAAAGAACTTTAAAATTAAATAGTAAAACACAAAGATTAGCACTTGGGGAACATTTTTGTCAAGCAGCCACCTACCCTGCGAACTATTTTTCTTTAATATTAGCTTTGGCTTTCCCTAACGATGCTCAGCTCCTTAGAACTGCAGCATATGGTAACACACACCAATTAGTGGCCAGCTGTGCAGCTGCATAATTATTATTGCAAGTCATTGCCATTCTTGGTTCTATATCTCCATCTTATCCTCACTCAGTGGTCATAAAGTGAGGAGTACTATTTAGTCACATGTGATACAGAGGTCCTACTATAGTTTTGATTGTTCCCCTTCTCTTTACCTCTTTTAGTTTTATTATATTATTTTTCAAAAAGGGGGCATGCAGAACTGCATAATAATCCAGATGTAAGTTAATCATAGATTTATTTAGTGACATGATGATGTTTTGCTCTCTAGCCTTTTCTAAAAATCTACTAATAATTGATTTTTCAATTCTGATCTCTATCAGCCACTGAATCAACATTTTCAAAGAGCTGTTGTGCCTCTTAAAGTTTCATTACTGAAGGGTTCTGAGTCTAGTATCTATTATTGTGTACATAAAATGATTGTTGATTTTTTCCCCACCCTGTGCTTTGCTAATATCAATTTACATTGCATCTCATCAGTTACTTTGTTGCCCAAGAGGTTGTACAAGAAGTTACTTCTGCAGTTCATCAGCTCTTGCCTTTACTACCTTTAATAATTCAGCATAATCAGTAGATTTCATTAGCTCAGTATTTATGCCTTTTTACCAGATAATTTAGGAACATATGGAACAGAACAGATCCCAGTACAGGAACAGATACTTTTTTCTACCCCTTGCTTGCTATCTTTTTACCTACTCTTTATCTATCCTTTACCTACCTCCATGTGAAGACTGCCTCTCTCATGCTAACGCAGCTTAATTTCTTTAAGGGTCTTTGCTTCAAGACTGCCAGGTGCCTTTTGTGGATCCAAGTGCACCATGCCAGCTAGAGCTCCCTGGTGTACATGCCTATTGACTCCTTCAGAGATTGCTCAGCAAAATTGTGAGGCACAACTTATTTTTGCAAAAATCATGTCAGCTTTTTTCCTTCCTTGTTACAATCTGTATTTTATTCTTTGGAATGGTTCCTCCCATTCTTGGACTTCAGGTTTGCTTCTTTATAGTTCTTTGGATCTGTCTGTAAACCTTGAAAAAAAATCTGGTGTCATGTTTGCCACCATACAGTACAGTGGTATGAAGGTTTGTTCAGAAAATACTTTCTGTAGCTGCAACATATTTTATCATCTAAAGTAAATCAGAACAATTTTCATTAAAATCATAATATATAGCTTTATGCATACATTTGGAGAATACAGGTACAGTGTAAAAGTCTGTAAGATTAATAATAATTGGAAAGTTAAAGTGCAACAATGATTATTTTCTTTGCAGTTCTTACTGTGTGTAGAAACAAATGTGCTTCCAAATCTGTTTGAATAGATTTTTCTTATTTATAGATAACCCATTGACCAATGCTGTAGAAATAAACACAATATTTTAATATTTTAAATGACATACTCACAGGTAAAAGAATTAAAAGATCTCTTTTACATGGAAGAGCCTACCTACTTTGGATGTAGGTTCCCAGATATTTTCAGAGACAATATAGGAGCCTTTTTCCCAATCAATACTTCTATTATAGAACTGTCTCTCAGCTTTGATGCCAAACATAAACTAGTTCAGAACAATGAGTATGAGTACATGATCTTTTATAGATAGATACATGAATGTAACAAAGATTTTGACAATAGGTTTTTGCTGATAGACCTAAATTTACTCCATTCCAGGTTCAAATTGCTTAGGTGTATGGGACAGTTTAACTTAGCTGGCAGCCAAAAAAGACACAGCCACTCACACTCCCTGACACTTTTCCCCTCATCCAGGGAATAGGGGAGAGAAGTGGAGGGGTAGAGGTGAGGAGACTTGTAGGTTGAGATAAGAACAATTTAATAATTAGAGTACAATAAAATTAAAATAGTAATGATAATCATAATGATAACATCTATATGTGTATACATACATATATATATATATATATATATCTACACACTTATATATCTGTGAGTAATGCACAGTACAATTGCTCACCACCTGCCGATAGCGATCCTGGTGGAGCGAAAAGGAACTCTGAAACCAAAACAGCGATCCTGAAAAAGCAAACTCGAGCGATTCCTGAGAGAATTCTGCTCCCCTCCTTTTCCAGTCAGCCCCGGTTAATATACTGAGCATGATGTAGTACAATATGGAATATCTTATTGACATATTAAACTGTAAATTCTGAGTTTTGCTAACTGCTACACTTTCCCCTTCCTAGTCCTTTGCACTTGCAAACTGCCCAAGCACAGTGTCCTTGTACTTTATCAACATTCTTCTCATAACAATCACCACTGAAACCAAAACACAGTGCTTTCTAGCTACTAAGAAGAAAATTAACTCTATCCTAGCAAAAACCAGGACAGTATAATATCACTTCAGTTATGTAACACTGAAACCAGAGCTGGCCAAGTAAGTTCAAGCACAGCTTTTTCATAGTGCAGCTACTTTGCTTCAAGATGTCTAGAAATGTGGACAGAGTCATTCCACACCTACCTTCAAAAAAACCTGAAGGGTTTTCTCATATTGGATATGTAATCCAATAGTGAAGTTTCTTGTAATATTTCACTCAGGAGAGGTGCTTCAGGGGACACTAAAGAAAGTAAATGTACTCATAATCAGAGTAAGCATCCCATAGACAGATTATAGGTTCTGGCATTTAACGTAGGAAGTTCTGCTATCAGTCCAGCAGCTCAATAGGAGGTTTTCTTCCTGCTCCTTCTCCATCACTCTCTCCCTCTCTCTCTCCCTTTCCTAGCTACTGTGTGGTTGTACCTTTTTGTTTAGTCCTTTAGCAGAATGCAACATCAGCTGTTTCTCAGTAGTCCTCTTCATTCTTCATCCTCTTTTGGAGTTCTCATGTTTTGAACGTGCATGGTAGTTGAAATCCTAAAATGCATAAAGCAACATGTGGGTATTGTAAAGACAAGCGTGCAGTGGCCAAATGTCAAGAAGGATAAACAAGAAGCATGGGATCGGAATGGCTGTCTGAGACTAATGAGTAGACATCCAGCTGTGTCTGCCTTTCAGATGGAAAACCGTTGACTACCAGTGGCTGGAAGGTGAGACAGATGGCAGTGCGGGATTGGTTAGGAGCAGAGGCACAATTCAGATATTAGTCAGTAATAATGCATTTTATATCTTATTTAAAAGATATAAAGTGAGTAATCTGCTTAATATATATCCTTAGAAGAAGTGGCTGCTGCCATTCTGGCTGCTGCTAGGGGGCAAGGGATTAAAATATTGAAAATAAGATAAAATAATTGACTCAGAATTTTATCTCTAAATTCATATATGCAAGCACACCAAAATGAAACATATCATCTTTTCCTTCCAGGCAGTGCTAAAAATGCTACTCAAAGACCTGTGAACCAGATCAGTGCTTTCTGCTCGATTTTAATTTCTGCAGTTATTTTTCTAACAGTCTGGCAAATCAGACAATAGTGCATAATCCTCCCTTATGAGCATCTATAGAAACATGAAAATAACTAGTCTTTGCTTAGGAAGGAAAACATGTGAGCAATAGAAAGAGACAGAGCAGGTCAGAATAGTGGTAGGCAGTCGGAGAACAGACAAGAAGGAAAAAGAGTAGGAGGAGAAAAATGTTAGCAACACTATAACACTTGCATCAGTTTGAGGGGGAGAGAGTCTATAACAACTTGAATATCTGAATTTTGGATCAAGTGATAGACTCAATCTAGACTTAAACATAGAAAATAGGAAAGCAAAGTTAGCAAGTTGTAAACTAGGATTCAATGAAAAAATATCTTCAAATATTCTTGTTAAATTTGAGGTACATTAATGTCGATCAGTCTCGTCTCCATCTTGCATTTTCTTTCCCTGAATATTTCAAGGTAATTTGATTTTGAAGAAAATCCTTTGGAAAAGAATTTTTTTGACTATGCAGTTTTCAACTGCATAGAACAAGAATGTTTTTAAATGCATTTCGCTCAAGTATTTTCATCAGAAACTCAGCTGTGAGAATTATAAATAAAGTGATAGATACTCTGAAGTTTGATTATCTGAGCCAGTTCAGCCTGAGCTTTATAATTTGTATTTTGAGTAGAAAGACAGAAAGTACATGACATGAAATTTGGATGTGTCTGAAGGCTCTGTAGATTCTGAAACATGTAGCTTTCTTTAATTAATAGTTACAAATTAGACACTTGTCTGTACTTTGTGCTGTACCACCAGGATGTACACAAGGAAAGGGTATTTATTATGCAAAGTATGACACTATACTGAATAGGACTGCTGGAACGTGAGGTGTCTGACAATGATCCTTCTCACCACTGGATGTTTAGTTAGATGGTCATCTGATAAACTTTGCTTTTAGCAGCACTCATAACCCATCTCTCCAATACATTCTTAGCCTGAGAACTTCTACATCATCTGTCTCTCCTCTTACATCACATGTGTGTAAAGCACAGTAAGAATCTGATGTCACCAAGTATCTTAACCTTGCACCAAAAAAGTGCAGGAATAAGAGCAACACAAGTGTCCTTTCACTATCCCTTTCCAGGACCAACCTGCAGCCAGCATCAGGCTGATGGGAACTCATGTAGTTTTTGCCATGGTGATTCCTTACCTTGATTATTAAATTAAGGCTACATTAAAAAAAAAAAAAAGTTTGTGTTTAATTATTAAGCAAGTAAATAAACTGTTCCTAAATTTATTACAGGAATTTCTTCAGTCTTCTCCTTCATCTTTAGTTTTGCCAGCTGTTGACTGCAAGGCTACCAGTTATCTTCTGAGCTTTCTTCAGGAGTCAGGAGATTGGAAGTTAATAAACATAACTAATCTTGATGTCTCTCAGCTGGAACTGAATACGTCTAAACCAAACTTACTGGTGGTTCAGCTAAAACCACTTGTCAGGTAGGAGTCTGTCATAAACAAAACTGACCTAAATGTGTTCACGATTTTCAAAGCTTTTGAAAATATCACTTGTATTCAGGAAATTTAAAAGCCAAAATGAAAGCTGACAGGGTTAGTAAAGTTAGTAAAGTTATTTTTCTTGCAATGGTGAACTTAGTGGTTTTTAAAGTCCCCTGATGAGCTTACCAGGTGTAATATATTAATTATATTGAGAAAGTCAGTTAGGCATTCCTATTTTTTCTGCCTCATTATATGAGAACAAAAGGACAACTAATAAAACTAAATGGCAACACACTTTTAGTAGAAAGGCTGAATTATTTTATGCAACACATGATTAACCTGCAGAATTAATTGCTAGAAGGCATTCCAGGGGTCAAAACAACTGTCAGGACAAATAAACATGCAGACAAACTTGAAGTTAATATGGATAAATAGACTGGTTTTCATCACTCTAGAAGGAAGAAGAGGGCTATAATTCTTTATGGTTCCAAGACTATGACAACTGTCATCTTATGGACGTAGAGAGAGACTGTTCCTTTAGTTGAATGTATATTTTGAAGATATAAGGTATAGATGTATCAAGTCCCTCTGCTCAGCCTCTCGTGCTCTTTCTTCTTCCTAGCCTGTTACTTGGGCATTGGTACACGTCAGGATACAGTGCATGTACCAATAGGTCCTAAGGAAGTGCAGTTATAGCTATCACATCACCTCACAAAAAAACCGTGATACCCATTTTAAGGAGCTCATGTACAAATGTTAGGCAAGGGGTCCACACCAAATGAAAAGAAAGTTGCGCAGAGATTGGTCAAAACAACATCAGTAGTCTGGCTTCTCTGGCCAGGGATTTGATGAATCAGCTGAATGGTTTGAGGGGTTTGAGGAATTACCTGAAGATGTGGTCCTTGTACTATTGATGGCTTTGCAGAAGGAAAGGATCATAAAGAGGAGATGAGAGAATGATGGAGGGACTGGGGCTGGCAGTTATCCTTTTACTAGTCAGTGTCTTTGTACATTTCTGCTTCATATTGTTCTTGCCTAGAAAATATCTTAAATTATTTTTCTCCCACTCTTTTTGTAGTGGTTTAAATGAGATTTCCACCCTGGAAGCAATTGCTGAAAATGGTAAGCAATATGATCAAGATATAACTAACATTTCATCGTTTAAGTCTGTGTTTTCACTTGAGCAGAATGTATTCTCTAGTTCCTGGTTTTTGCTGTGATACTGCTATTTAAAGGTTTTCTTTTTCCCCCATCTATAGTTCTTATAAGCACCCAGCTATCAGTGTTGAAGTACTGAACGTCTGATTCAGTACAGCTCTGTGACCTGAAATGTAGTGATAATTCACCTCTTCTTCAGGCAGGGGCCTTTGCTCATGCTCAGAGATACTCTCAGTTCAGAAGACACACCCCGCATCTCCGTGCAGCTTGGACTGCCTCCTTGGATCTTACCTCACACACCGGCAGCTGAAGGCGTCAGGCTCACCTGGCAGTTCAAAGATCTCAGTCTCAATCAAGGGTGTCTGAATGAATAGGAAATATTTTCCTAGTCTTTGTAAAACAGCACTCATGCCCTTCACAACCTTTGGTTTTAGACTCTTCTATTGGTTTTGCAGGTATTAAAGACTACTTGTTAAAGTTGAATCTCACCATATAACACTATAATAGAACTTTTCTTGCCTAGGATCTGGGTGAAAAACAGGTGCCATACACCAAAGAGGCACTGAGAAGCATCTGGTTTTTTGCAGAGCTTTTGCTTACTACTCTAAATTAGAGATCAAGTTATAAAGTCTGCAAATCACTGTAGTGGCGGTTTCAGGGACATACAGTGAAATGTAGTGTAGTGGGCTGATAATGAAACAGTGTCCTTAGTGCCTATGACTGTTTCTGCCCAGAGCTGGGGGTGTAAAACCAGAAGCAGATTTGAAAATCAAGGGAAAATACCTTAGTACTGGAACCAGTGGTGTGTCCTTTTTGTTTTTGCGCTGCTCCAAAGTGAGTGTGGTTTTTGTACTTAAAGAAGCAGCTGGATTTCCATCTCTGAATTGCAGAGTTGTTTAGTTCTCTTTTCCTCAGAACATATTTGATGGGAAAAGCCTTGGCTTAATGTTAGCCTTGGCTAAACATTAGCTTTTTCTTTATGGGACATTTCTTTCATCAGCTGCACAAACTCAAGAATAACCTTCTCAAATCCTGCTTCAGGCTACTTTGTTTTGGAACAGCAAAGTTAATGGGGGACCTGTGGGATCATGGAGGAACAGGCTATACTAACTTTCCAGTTAGTGTCAACTTACTGTTATCAGGAAAAAGGTGTATGGATCAGGGAAGATGAGCAGCTTTCTATGGCCAACTGCAAAATCTGCAGTATTAGTATACTGAAAACTTAGTATTCTGCACCTCAGCTGTGCTCTAGAAAAGTGGGAGTGTGGGCTGAATCCTCACCTTCTGGTTTATTTGCCAAAGCAGCCACTCAATGCCTTTCTGAATAAAAATTCAAAA